AATTCTGAAATACAACTTACCATATCTGAAATTGAATGGACTTTTTCTGAAATTCATCTCACCGATTCTGAAATTGAGTTTACCATTTCTGAAATCGAAATATATAACCAATTCTGAAATCGAGATTACTTTTTCCGAAATATAACTTACCGATTCCGAAATTGAAGTTGAAAAGGTATAGTGTCTCAAAAGGTATGAGGCATTTCAAATTTGTATTCTTGACATCTCTGATGCAAAAATCGATAAACTTTTCAGACTGAACTTGTTTCTATTATTGTGCAGTTAGGTGACTATTCCTTTGGTGCTTTGGTTGATTGCAGAGTCAATAAAACATGTGGATGTGTATCCTCCTTTGAATCACTATTTTCATATTGAACCTAACACACAGCAAACAAAGTTTTGCTCCACCTTCATCTGCCAACATTCACGCTTCAACAATCGAAATGTAGAGAGTATAGCACTCAACTACAGATAAAATCAATTCGAAGAATAATAACGTGGAAGTATTCGTGATGAAGGGTGGTACAAATCTTGTTTGTGTATAAAATATCTTTTTGATACAAAATATTACATCATAACACAGAAACGCTCAGTTCCTATAAATTACAAGGCAGTTGAACAACACTATTATTATCATGTTACTTTGACTACAACTAAGAAAAAGCCAAAAATGCTCAAAGTGGAATGAAATGTTGAATAAATACGAGAAGCTCAAAGTCATTTCCACAAATGTTCATAAATGAACGAAATTGGTAGATAACGAGAGAAAAACAACTACTTTCCTGGCTATGAACTATGCAGAATATTTTTTACATCCTCCCGAAATCTATGCAATAATTTGTATACACGAATAAAATCGCAAGTGTTGTCTTCCTAAACGCCGAGCCGTGCGTTTCTGAACCACTTGGGTAGACAGGAAAGTAGTTGTTTTTCTCTCGTTATCTACCGTTATTCATTAATTTATTAGTCCAATAAATGAAGGAGGAAAAAAAGGCAAAGTTAACGTTAATTACGCACTATTTTCATCTTCCGGTTGGAAGTAGCTTTTGGTACCTCATTAAACATGAGACAAAGTTTGACTGGAAAACGCGTGCGATAGCGGAGAAAATGGCCCCAAAAGACCAGGAAAATAGGTTTTCAGCCAATATCTCCTAAAATATGGTAGTTAGAGATTTTCGGTTCAGATAAAAATTGAAGTTCAGTTAATTTTCTACAAAAATGGTCCTTCCATTTTTTGAAAATTTGCCCGGTTTCGAGAAAAACGGCACGAATCGCACCTCGAATAATGAGCTTTTGTGTTGTATGCCGGAGAGCACAGTCCGTGTATTTACACATTGACGGGGGGACAAATTATTCAATAACTTTGTTAAAAATGCATATTTTCTCATGATTCAAAGTTCATGTGAAAGAGGAATTCTGCTGCTATCATACCCTGCGTGGCCGCATGGTTTGTAGCAGACGACCCGAGCGCCACGTAGAGCACACACGCGGCGAACGACGGAGGAACGAAAGTAATAAATTATAGCGTGTACATTTAGATATACTGTTTTTTTCCCGGGATATCAAAGGTATGACTTATATACATCGATGGAAAGGTGGGAATTCCCCAGTTACACTAGTTAAGGTGTTAAAATGTTAGAAATAAATAGCACGCAGAAAAAAAACCACCGAAAAAAAAAGTGCGTTCTTTCCTTGACCCCGCTTTTTCTAATTTTATTGAAGAATGGACGACTTCGTCTAACAAAGTAATTGCACAATCGAAAAGTAGACCTTCTCAGCTTTCAAATGATGTATCATAGAAACCAATCGGATCATGTATAAATTTTTAATTGATGGTTGTTCACAAAATTTCCCCGCGCTCCAAAAACAGCAAAAAATTGGGATTCAATAAACAAAGATTAAATGAAAATTAAAAAAAATTAGGGTACATAAATTTCAGGGATGACGAAGGACCTTATGAGGATCCATAATCAAGAGAATTTTGAGTAAATTAGTGCAATACAAAAAAAATAGGAACAAATTCCTGGCGAGGTCAAAATTGACCGGGAGCAGAAAGTTTGACCCATGTTCCGATATAGCCAAAAGAGTCAAGCGTGACTCAATTCACAGGGTATGATAGCAGCAGAATTCCTCTTTCACATGAACTTTGAATTATGAGAAAATATGCATTTTCAACAAAGTTATTGAATAATTTGTCCCCCCGCCGATGTGTAAATACACGGACTGTGCTCTCCGGCACACAACAGAAGCTCATTATTCGAGGTGCGCTTCGTGCCGTTTTTCTCGAAAACGGGCGAATTTTCGAGAAAAATGATAAGGACCATTTTTGTAGAAAATTAACTGAACTTCAATTTTTATCTGAACCGAAAATCTCTAACTGCCATATTTTAGGAGATATTGGCTGAAAACCTATCTTTCTGGTCTTTTGGGGTCATTTTCTCCGCCATCGCACGCGTTTTCCAGTCAAACTTTGTCTCAAGTTTAATGAGGTACCAAAAGCTACTTCCAACCGGAAGATGAAAATAGTGCGTAATTAATGTTAACTTTTTCCCTTTATGAACATTTTTGGAAATGACTGAGCTACTCGTATTTATTCATGTTACTTTGGTTGCCATATTTTCTAATCCACTACACATAAGAACACAATAACAGTTGAAATAGAAACAATCAAGTGAGATACCTACAGTTTCCATACACATAGAGACATTTTGCGGTTTACGAAACATATAAATCAGAATACATCTAAGTCACAAAATACCAATTACATAAAGGGTAACTAGCGTGGAGGACGAATATAATCCTTCACATCATGCAGATTGGTAACAAAATGCCGGTAATGTAGGTTTTACGAGCTAGTCGACCAGCACAAACTATAACAGATGATAATATACGCAATGGGTAAACAAGTATTTTCCTGGACCACTCTAGAGTTGCTTCATGGATTTTGACGTTTTTGTTTAGAGCACTGACACGACAAGCCAGACATAATCGCAGATGGGTTTGAAACAAATGATCATGTTATTTCATCAAAACTGCGAATTTTATTCTAACTTGCCTAGATATTAGCATTTTCAGTTTTCTGAAGATATTATTATGTTAATTTAGTTCAAAATTTGGAATAAGTTTATGATAATTAGTTGAGAATTTTGCTCTAATTTCTGTATCTAATTCTAGTTCCACTCCCTATATTTTTATTATATTTGTTTCTTGAATTCGTCACTCTTTCACTAAAGAATCTTCAATTTTCGATTATCAACTCTTCTGAAATTTCTGTGAAATCAATTTAACTTTCGGCACTAGTGTCTCGTCCAACTACTTCATGTTTTCTCTCCATTTCTGTTTGTCTATATTTTTACAGTTTGTAACCGGACAAACTTGCATCGCAATAATATTTTTCCCTATTCTTTTTCAATATGACACAGCTTTGAAATTGATGTTATATACGTTTATGTACAGGGAGTCCCGTTTTTTTATGCTTTTGTGTGATATTTCACTAATTTCAATTGTTTTCCTGTCAATCCTACATAACCTTGAAAATCGTAAACGAGTTGAGCAGCTCCCTCTCGGCAGTCTCGACTCACACCACAAAACTATATCTATAAACGAATGGAATATTAGAACAATGAGAATTCAAAAATTGTAAAATACATAACAAGTCACGATGGCACGACAGCTCTTGACACTGACAACTTACATAACCACAAATTTCGAAAATTTTCTAGAAAAAAGTGAAGATCATTTCGTCCGATACGGTAACACCTCCTGGTGGTCATACACTCAACGGAGCTATAGAGCAGACTAGTAGTTACAGCTCACTAGATTTTTTCTACGTATTCAGCAGACAATGATTTGAACAATTCAATGAATAAGTTACTGCATGATTTCGAAATTCAATAATTGTAGTAAATATTGAATATCATGAACTTATTACTTTACTATTCATTTGTTGCTATCAGGTACCTATGTTTTGTGTTAATTAGTGTTGGTATCGTTTTTAATTAGTGTTGGTATTGTTTTTCTCCTCTTAGGGAAATCGAAAGAAATATTCCTTCAATTGGAACTTTTTCTATATGGAAAATCCATAGCCCACTATTAAAATACAATGTTTTACTGATTTTGGAGCATTTTTGAAAATTTTATATTTATACATTATCATATCATTCTGAAGGAAAAAAAATAAGGGATTTAATGAGCTTTCAGAGAACAGGGTTCTATTTATAAAATCATAAGTTTGAGTCGTATCTGCAAAACCATACCTCGAAAATAAATTCAGTGTTCCACTGGATTCTACGTACAATTCTCTATGGATAAAATTTCAATTCGACATTTCCGCTGAGAAACTTCGTAGATATATAGAGGGGGTCTAAAAAGTATAAATTTTCAAAAGTTATGTTAGTTATGCAGAATCTGATTAGGTCATTTTGAGTTTCACAAAAGAGTGGCACAGGACCGCGAAAACCGCAAGGTTGTATCTCCAAAGATAACTGAGAAATCCCGCAAAAGCATCGAATACTGGACACACTGTACTTGATGTCAGTTCCCGCTCCTTTCATCTATTTATTTGTGATTACGTCTAACCTGGTCTAACTGTCAGTGCGTGTCAGAGTGTCTGTGTTCTTATTGAGCAAGTTGAATACTCGATTATTCATCGCGTAAATCTGTTATATTTCGTGCTGGTCGACTGAGTACAGCAACAATTTCCTAAACGCATTGGAAATCCTATTTATCGGCGATATTTTCATATCTGCATTAGACATATATGACTATTTCTCATTTTCTATATTTATGATTTTTGATACTTTTTTATTCATGGAAGTAAGTGCATAATTTTGAGAGCAGTTCTAATGAACTGGAGAAATTTGGACAAAGATGTATCGATGGACAAAATGGAAACAGGAAATAAGTAAGTAGGTTTGTATGTTCAGAATGATCACTTGAATCAGTGTTTTTTCTCTAAAATAATATTTTTGACAAATTTCCCTTAGCCCTACTCATAGTATGAAGAAGTCGAATAAAGTTAGGTTAGCTAGGGTAGATAGATCTGAACTGACATTTGTCTAAACCAACAAAAAGATTGTAGGTTCTGTTATGTAGAACCTAGTAAGGTTTGAATTGCAAGTTGTGTATGTTCTCAAAAGAACAAAACAAAGAGAAATAAATTATATTTCATCAGTGAGTAGGTATCCATTTTGTTGTCTGCTAGTGTCTTTGGGAAACATTATATCTTATGATGGGTTTTATGCAGCAGTTTTAGTCATAAGATGTGAATAAGTAATAATTATTCAAGCGGACATGTTTCGGACTCAAAAAAGCACAAGTTATGAGGTTCTAAAAACAAAGTAGTGAGAACTTGAACTGTCAAAAAATAACAGCAAACATGGACTTCCACCATAGATTAATAACAGAATGTTTAACTTACATCATCAATAAGTATGTAGATGACTAAGCATTCTTTATTTCTTCTGAAAAATTACACTCAACTTTAAGCAAATATAGACTTCTAGAAGAGAATGATATAAAATTGATATTATATGTGAAATTGGCCTATCAAGGAATGCTTCCATTATGATGATATGACAGTCCTTATGATCCATGCATGCATACATCACCGAAATATCCTTATTACTTGAAACTCACTACTGAAAATTCATAACATGACTTGAAACTACCGCATATTTTGACCATAAGTGTCAGTTTTGATTGTAGTTGTAGTATCCTTGTATGAGAAGATAGAGCATCCAAGATCTTCAAATGAACATTAAACATTGCCATCTAACCTTCATCTTCCGGTCAAGAAACCTCGATCAAGACCAATAAAATGAGAAGCTCCAGGGAGATATAATCTTTGAAATATAGTAAATACACAATAAGTAGAGTACAGAAAACATCGACATCCTCTATCTGTAAGTTATTTGCGCTAATTGAACAACAAGCGTTACCTAACTATATTTCTTAGCTGACGACACAAAACACGAAATTTACGATTTCATTCCTGTCCTTTTCTCAATAACTAACACCACATTGTCTTCCTCGTCAATCACGCACATCCTAGTTAAGTTCGAAGCCACCGAGGCAGTGTCACTGTTACTGTTTTTCTCAAGGTCATCGAGGATCGCGTCTGATTCGTGGATGTATGTGGTTTTCTTTTGTAAATTTCCACTCCACTTTGAGCAAATATGGACTTCTACCAGAGAATGATCAAGCAGGAATGCTCTGATAATGATAATATGACAGTCCTTATGATCCTTTTGCATGCATATATCACCGAAATATCCTCATTACTTGGAACTCACTACTAGAAACTCATGACTGATGACTTGAAACTACTGCATATCATCACCAGTTTCGATTGTACCGGGTCTTCGACAAAGAATGAGGGCCACGTGACCATTTTTGATGCGGCGTCTCTTTTCCACCCACGTTGAAGAGATACGAATGTATTCTTGATTGCATAGTAATCTGTCAGGTGACTTTCAATCATTGTTGAAGACTCGTTAGTTGTAGTATACTAGTATGAGAAGATAGAGCATCCAATTTTCAGATCTTCAAATAAAACTTGCCATCTAACCGCCATCATCCGGTCAAGAAACCTCGATCAAGACCAATAAAATGAGAAGGTCCAGGGAGATATAACCCATGAAATATGGTAAATATGGCACTACAGAATGAGTAGAGTACAGCAAACATTGACCTCCTCTGTCTGTAAGTTATTTCCGCTAATTGAACAACAAGCGTTATCTAACTATTTCTCTTAGCTGAAGACACAAAACACGAAATTTACGATTTTTTTTCTGTCTTTTTCTTTATAACTAACACCACATTGTCTTCCTCGTCACTCACGCACATCCTAGTTAAGTCCGAGGCCACCGAGGCAGTGTCACAGTTACTGTTTCTGTCAAGGTCATCGAGAATCGGGTCTGATTCGTGGATGTACGTGATGGGGCTAGAGGGCCTCGGCTTGTCGAACGCCTCCTGGTGGCTGACGATGGCCAGTTCCGATAGGGGCAGGTTGCACGAGGCTAATTGGGTATCAGGTATGGCTATGGATAGCTGGTTTTTGCTGAAAATGGTATAATAGGGTATTACATGCTGACTCTTAAGATACAATACCTTGTATCTCCATTCTTACTGAAAATATATTCATTACACAAACTTGATGTACAATCGTATGTCCAACCCATATAGCACGAGTACGTCCCCAAAACGTACTGAGAACGTCCGGCCAAGACGTTTCGTACGTATTGGGGACGTCCAGATTTCTCGCTACTGACACTGATGAAATTCTACTGTTCCCAAATAGTTCAGTATTAACAGTGAGGCTACGTTCAGCGGCAGGTCGGACCATGGTCAATTCATCTCAATTCGTTCAGACCGTTGTCAGACTGTGGATCAGACCGTGGTCCATGTAGTCTCATTCAAAATGAGACCAACCAAGCATGGTCTGAATCTTCAGTCCATTGTTTCCGTCAGTAAAATATTTGTCATGAATCAATAACATGCAAATGCATTTGAATTTGAACGAATCTCTTCGCGGGTGAAATAGTATGAAGGCCAACTAAATCAACAACAATTCAACAGATATGTTTTGTGAAGCAGATGCAATACCTTCACAGAATTCAACGATTATACATTGCTCCAAGATGTAAGACCTGTGATTAATGGATCTGAATGAAAATAAGGGTGGTCATTTTGGTACAAAACATGTCTTCAATCTGATCTGTACACTTTTCACTTGACACAAATAACATTTCCAGCATAGTATAACTGTTCACCATCCACCATCGGCCCGTTATCTATTATTAATATATTTGAGAATGTCAACCGAATTGATTTCAACAAGCACCATCGTTCAAAAACCAATCTGACCACTTACATTTCGAAATGAAAATGAAATCAAATGGGGGTTCTCATGACAACTTCGACAGACGAATGCATGGATCATGCATGGACCGATGTCGTTCAGAACTCCTATGTTTGCTGTGGTTCGACTACGGTGGTCCAGACCTGCCACTGAACGTATCCTGAGATTACTTGTGTTGAAATTCCGTACAAATTCTATAGCAGTGAGCTGTCCTATTCACTTATTCACAATTTAGATTTTTTATAATTATATTTGTGATAGCAGGGAATCCCAAGCGGGGATTTCGGGATATACTCGAGCGCGACAGATTAACATATGGAGGGCATCCTTGGACCTTGTGAAGTACTCCCACCATACCTGGACCCTTTATATGGTGTCGAAATTAGGGCAGCTGATCAGAATAGTAAAAAAATCGATCGTCAGAAATACTTGAGCGCGTCAGATTGAGACATGGTACGTTAATTACATGCAGAAAAGTGTGCATTTCAATAATCTGACTATTTGAGGGTGACATAAGGAAATGGGAGAGCCACAAAGTTGCGAAAAAAAAATCGTCACCTGTACCATTCTCGAGCGCGGTTAATTTTTTTCTTATTCTGAAGGCAATTAGTCACGGAAATAACATAATCTGCCGATTTGCACAAGCCGAAATAGCGAAAATCATCAATTAAGTGGGGTGCTTGCAACCACTGGGAACTATGTATGTAATTATGGTGACGTAAAATCACTTCGTGTATTGTTATCAATGCTTGAGCCTTGTCAGCTCATAAGGAGGAATCTGAAAATGCAATAAAATATAAGGTGTGCTATAAGAAAAAGTATAAATTTGATACGCCACGCATTTTGAGTAAACCTGTATGACGCAAAATATTTCAGAAATGTATTGCTCCTGAGACTAGACCATCTCAAGAATTTTTGTTCATCTATCTCGAACAGCAAAGCTGTTATCTCACTTTGCCACATTATTGGTGGTCTACCCTTGATGTCTACATGAGCCTTATTCCATTTCAAAACCGTGAATTTTTCGAGCTGTTGAAGTCCTGCTACAAAAACTGACCCACCCTGTATATTTTTTATTTTACTTATTACATTCAGTTAACATAAAAAAAAATCCAGTCGTCAGATTAAGGTAATTCCTCTACATAATTGTCAGATTATAGGTCGATACGACAAGGACATCAAGATGAAGCGTCTCATAATAATCTGACGCGCTCTTAATAATACACTCTGTATGCCCCATTTTACTCAGGCTATTATCAGGAATGACCACTACGATGAATGATTCACTGAACAACTTTATTACACACTTAACTAGACAACACAATACTTCTCGAACTATATTATTACTAAAACAGTTTAGTCGTATCAGAGCAACTATCACACTCGGATGATGATTTCGATCTGATGCTTCTGGCTTAGGTCTGGAATCTCGTATATTATGATTCATATCTCATTATCGAACATTTCATACTTCTCAGATGATTCAGCAAAGTCCGAGGCAGCTGTTACAACGCATTTCTCGTCTGCTCTCTGCATCAGTGGTATATTCATATACGGAGTGATCATTTGTACAGGACACAATAATTACGTGATAATGTCTTTCATTTCATGGCAAAGCCAACACGCTCGAGTATTTCAAGGTCACGATTTTTTTTTCATTATCAAAAATTGATCATGACTTTTGGTCGCGTCCAAATCGTCAATCTTTTGAATAGGAGCCACTTGAGAGTTATATTAAAGTCCCTACTCAATATTTGACGAGCTCGAATTTTTTTTTTACCAATTCTCTATTCCTTCGTACGTCTCTGTTTATGTTCGGTGGTGCGGCCACCCCCACCATGCAAACCGGCAGATTGATATTTTTCGGTTATCAGCGTGGGGCGCATACACTATTAATATCTGATGCGCTCGAGTATTTCCATATGACTGTTTTTTTTACATTTTTGAACAGTAATCTTCACAATCTGATACGTCCCCACGACGCTCGAGTAAGTCAATATTTAGCCTCTTTGCCTCCCCTACTATAATGAATTGAATAAAAAATGCGATAATTGGTACATGAACCAGCAACTTATTATTTCACAAGGGTTTCTATGATGGCGAATCGGTAACAAATCATGATTCGAAATTTAATGAGCAGAATGGTGGTCAGGAATTTCAGCAGAAATCTGAGCCTAAAATATTCAGTATGGATACTATGTCTGCTCTCGAGATCTGTCACTCTCAGTGAAATTTTTGATTTCAGAACGAATATTCAGTAGTTTCAGTACTGACTGAGGTGATTTTTGAAGTTTACCCCTCATTTCTATAAATAAAAATATGAGTATTATTTCAATATATGTATGTATGTATTTTTAAGTTAGATGATTTGCCCCAAAATGTCACTGTGTTATTTTAAAATTCCAATATTGGAAAACCTATAATTCAATCGATGGTCAGTGACACCTTATTGTTTTGAAAATTGTTTGAAAAATGTTCCCCAAATTCATCAGATTGACAATTTCAATGAATTGTAGTGAGAATTTTGTGGGTACAGGGTGATTCGCCATAAATGTCCACCCCCTCTAGCTCAGTAATTTTTGAACCGATTGCAACATTTTAAATATCATCTGAATTGATTTTCGATAGAGTTTTTTTCCGCTACATCAGAAAATACAAGGTGCTCGGAACAAACAATCTACAGGGTACTATTTGATTTTTTCAAATGGAACCCTCTATTTTTCATTGTATTTTTAGATTCTCCCTGAAGAGCTGATTTCATCAATGCATCAATCACACTTGGGGTCTAGGGAAAACGATTACAGAGATATAGGGTGTTCAAAATCGAGATTTTTCAACTTTAGGATTTTTCTGTGACGAAACTATTCATTATTGGTCAAAACTGCTCTCATGTCCTTATCTCAACTTTTGATTTAGTATCTACCGATATTTAATAATTGGAACAGATACAGGGTGATCCGAATTCTGAATCTGGAACCACACTGTATATGTTCCATTTAAATGTCAGTAGATAGTAAATCAGAAGTTAAGATAGGGACATTGAAGCCATTTTGACCAATAATGAATAGTTTCGACACAAAAAAATCCTAAAGTTGAAAAATATCGATCTGTAATCATTCCCGCTAGACCCCAAGTGTGATGCATTGATGAAATCAGCTCTTCAGGGAGAATCTAAAAATACAATGGAAAATAGGGGGATCCATTTGAAAAAATCAAGCAGTACTCTGTAGATCGTTTGTTCCGAGCACCCTGTATCTTCTGATGCAACGGAAAAAAAATTCTGAAAAATTATTTTAGATGATTTTTTGAATTTTTAAATCGGTTCAAAAATAAGTGAGCTAGAGGGGGGGGGGCATTTATGGTGAATCACCCTGTACAATATTTTGCATGTCAGTTTGAATTTTCCTCAATAGGACAGAACATGACACAATGAACGTTACATCACCAGCTATGAGACATTTTACTTCACGCAATAACTGATGGTTACCTAAAGTAGGCTGTTTCAAAATGGTCGTCAGTTCTGAAAAGTGTCATATTACATGGCCAAATTAGAAAAATATCTGTTACCTACCATACTTATGAGACCAGAGTATATTTTATGTTGATTTGCTATGATGAATGATTCAGACTAATTCTACTACTACCCATGCATTACACAGTTACATACATACAAAAAATACCCCTTTGATTTTACCTAGGTTGAAGCAGTGTTGGATCCATTATAATAGGGGCAATTCTCGTTTCTAATATATTTTGGAACCATTCTGTTGAATTCGGACTAAAATATAACCAGTCAGTACTCATTTGCATTTAGGATTCATTGAGAAACAGTGTTATATGTTAAATATTCAATAGTATTCTTCTAACTCGTTCTTCTGATTCTTCTCTGTTGACGAAATCAATTTCACAACTGACTTTTCAAGAATTATTCTCATTTAAGGGCCTGAACCATTGAGTTTTATTGAAATATGTGACTCTTATTGTATCCTTTTCCATAATTATTCGATGTGAAGTATGCAGTTTTCAACGTTAGTCCCTTCATTATTATTGACTTGAATAACTCAGAAATTTAATCATCATTCTCAAATAACAACATAATTCAATTATTGATGTGGTGTAACTGGTGTACACTGTTCTCAGACGAAATTTGGTAGTAGGTATATTACTTAGTTAATATTTATTCAGTGTCAAACTAATATAGATAGGAACAAAATAGAAAATGTCCCTTAAATACCTACCCTACTAATACTAATGCCAGAATTTGTTTCGTCAATATGAGAGGTGTCATAAGAGCTAACTATTCATTTTTAAAATTTTTGAAATAGATTCAATATATTGCTGTTACTTACAGTGGTGTATATCTTATCGATGGGAGCTGTCTCAAATATATCGTTGAGAACTTTCCAATATCATTGTAAGTATTCGAGTATTCAACTTCTGCGGAATCACATTTATTTCGGATTTTCAGTCTGTTCACATCGAATTTCAGTTTTTCTGAAAGTAGAAAAAAAATCATTAGTAAATTAGTAATAGTTTTATTGATAAAGTTTTCCAAACGGTGGAACCAGTAAAGTTTATACAAATTGTTATCCTTCCTTCTTGCATGTAGTTAACAAAGATACATATACATTTCTCCAGATTTTTCGAGATTTTTCTCCTTGTTTTCATTAATGAGAATATGCTGAGTTTGATTTGAATTGAAAGAAACATATTGGTTTTAAGGGGCTTTATCTCTCCGATCGAAATGTTGAAACATAACATATAAAACAACTGAATGTCACCCAGAATATACACTGAATTCTGCCAAATGGTTCATTTACATATCTCGAAAACCATTTCTATAATTACCTGTATCAATTGGAGCTAGTTGCTGGGCTATACTGAAAATGTAATCGACCGTCCAAAAATTCGGTATTCTCACGAAAATTTTGCCAGTATCTGCTGGCATGTAAATACCCAATTTGTGAAGCAACAGAACGAATGGTTGGTGCTTCAGAATGTTCGTTTGTTCAGTCGTCCAAGGTATAACCGGAACAGGCAAGTTCAAATCTAAAAAAAGTGAATTGTCAATGCGTTTTTGAACTTCCTCGAGCTTGGTGAAAGCTTCAGAAAGAACTTCAAAACCACAACCTAGGAATAATTTTGTGAACAGTGAGTGGAAATTCAAATTCCTTTCTACAAAATGTAGAAAAAAATTAACGGCGGATGAAGACTACTTCCCGCAAAACATCACATCATTCTGAAGTTTATAATAATACTAATTGCAAGTTTTTCTTTTCTTTCTCAGAAAAATATTCATGGTGACTGAATGAGATGATGATATAAAAAATTTGAAAACGAAAAAAAAAAATGCACTGCTAACGAAATTATTTTCGGTCAAAGTAGAATGCCTTGAAATTGAAAGTTGCGTTAGTCAACACGTATGGGCAGCTACATATTTTGATGCATTTCGTATGCTAGAAAAAAACTGCCCAAAATAATAGATATTTTATTCGTATTCTGTAGGTTACTCTATTGAAATAATCTTTTAATAATCTCATAGTAATCCTATGAAGTTGGATGAATATACCTATAAATTTATTGAGATTCCTAAGAGATATTTTCTGTCAGGTAATTCGTAGAATATTCAATGATAATCCAGTGCCAGCGTTGGCCTATTGAAAATTTGAGTAATGCAATAAGTGCTTATTTTTTCCCGGTAACAAAAAAACCATGAAGGCCCAATATCAATTTGCTATACTGACAAAGTGGCTACAAGAATGTGAAAGGCCAACAGATTTTTGCCGTTGAACTCATTCTTCCAGCAATAAAAGCATTGTACCAGTAACGTCCCTGCAGTTCATTGTTTATTGGGACCTATTTGTTTTCCATATCCAGGTAAAATTAATATGGCGTTGCCAAATCGGAGTAAGTGTACCTCATTCTCAAAGAGGTACGAAAGGTGGAGTAAAACCGTTACCACCGATAAAACAAGGCCTGCATGCGCCGTGGGTGACGTCACTTAGTCAGGCCTAACCAGCGGCTCGAAACGACAAGCGCTTATAGCGCTATAAGGCGACCGCGTATTTCGATTTCAGTTTTAGATCATTATTGAGCCGATTTTGCTTTTTTTTTGAAGGGCTTCCGGTTGAAAGAGGATGCCAGCCGTCAACTGAGCCCTTCTTCGCATCCCATTCGATTTTATTATGGAAAAACGAAGTTTCAAAACTTTCAAAGCAAAAACCAGAATAAAACACAAATATCCACCTACAGCAACCCATTCGAATTAAATATATTGGCAAAAATTGTAGTGATTCAATCTCATTAGAGGTAAACTTCACACCTACTCATACAGGGCCCGCAGAACATAAACTTATCATGAGATTGATCGAAAGAAAATTGGGGAAAATGTATTTCAGTTTGATAGACATGCCGTTTGTTATACCTAATTACCTATATTTATCTTGGAGAATTCCTATTACCTAAAAAATTAGCCAGTGAGTGTTTTCAATTTCCTGTTGTTGGATCTTTTACCCAATTGGTCGTTAGACTTGAAACAGTAATTTTTAAGTAGAGTGTTTGTAGTACATGTTAATATAATAGTTGCAATTTGATCATTGGAATGAATTCTGCATTCATTGCCACGAGGCAAATGACCGTTTTCAGAAAGAAATTTGACAATGTATTGAGTCAGAAACCAATGAGTCCAATGCATTCGAAATATGTTTCAAAACCCTCTTTTTCTGATTATCAAGACATTTTCCCGAATTATGTATCTCGTTTTTATCTATTTCAATTAGTAATTCCTTGATTTGATTGATATTATTAGAGATAAAAGGTGTTTTCAGATTGGCTTTTAGAGATGTTTGTATCGCTAGGTCATACAAAAATGATTCCACATTCAAAACAAAATCAATCACAACCGAATATGTAATTACGGGCCCTGGAGAATAAGACAATTTGAATAATGTGACTTTTTGCAAATCGATAATTTCGAACCACTTTTCGGGCAACTGAAAAGACTCTAATACAACTAGAAATTCTTGAAATTCTGTGTAGCAAAATGATTTTTGGTAATTTTCGAATTCAGTTTTACTTTTGGTAAGTGCTTGTGCCAAATTTTTAGTCTCTAGTATCTCAAGTTTTTCATCACGACTTGTGCGTAATTTTACATCTTTCGATAAATAAGATGGACAGTTGGGAAATTGAGTGGGAATAACATCTCGTTTGAGCCTAGGAATTTTCAAATCTATATTGTTACAGTTTTGCCAGTTTTTGAATCGGTTGCAGTAGATGAAGTAATAATATCATCTTTAGTAAAATGTAATTCACATACTTTACTGTACTTAGATGGAGTCGTAAAATCCTTGCGATGAATTGCATGTACCCACTTTTTCGATAGTTCCTTGTCCAACGGGAAACTAAAAGCATGAACTTTTGGACCACCCACATAATTCCCCCGACAAAAGGGAACACAACACTTGTAAGGCATTGTTATTTCGCCTATCACAACACGAAATATTTCACAAAACAGTAATTTCTCCTCCAATTATTTTGATGAATAAACAACAAGAGAATTCGAGCACACGCGATTTACCTACGCCACCGTTCTTAAACAAAAACAAAATGACGATCGATCGACGCGAATGCCTTGGAAGATGGCCTGAGTATGCGACGTCACGAGCTGTTTACGTCAGAGTCTGCTAGCCTTGTTTTATCGGTGGTAACGGTAAAACAAATATAGAAATGTTGCGCCTTCTATGGATAATGAATTAATCTATGGTCATACTTATGGTGGTTTGTATAAATGTTCAAAAATTGTATTTCCTATGAATATAGCAAGTATTATAAAGTTTCTCACGTGCAGAATAATACACTGTAGGCTCCATAACACTGTCATTGTTTTTGAATTCTTCTGGGGAACTCTGCACCAATTTTACACAACAAGTTTCTAATAACAACTGCTGCAACCAAATTAGATGTTTCCCCTTATTTTCTTTGACCAAGTATTCTTTCAACACCTTGATGTCACTGTCCAAATACTCGATGGCTTCGACATTTCGATCGAAAATCTTCTCCTTAGTTTCTACTTCCGAGAAGTGGTCGGTACTATCGATTTCTTGATGTTTGAGAAGACAGTCGTACTCATTCTCAGATATGATTCTTTGGTCTAATAGTTCGTTTATGACGGATATCTGAGTTTTGAAACGTATGCCGTGTTCTTCATACTTCTCTGTTATTAAGGCTATGAAGTCTGATGATTCTTTGTTTTCATTGTAATATCTCAGAAGATCATCTTTTTCTTCTCTAGTCCACCTAAACAATATTAGTATTTCATTCAGAATTTGTTTTTTGACTACTTTTGTATTATGTAAATATTGAAAACACATTTTTATCATATCAAGTTTTTCAACAAGAATTTTGAAAGCAAAATCATTCATGGTGTCCACTTCGTCATTCGTCCTACATCCATATCATTACAATAAAATCTTGTTACCATAACAAATGTTTTGTCACCACGATCAAATAGTATATATTATGCAGTATATATTTTATTCAAGCAAATCATTTGTGCACGTGACAAAACTTTTATTACAGTAACAAGATATTTTGTCGTGGATTAACGCAAAATATTTAGTTGATTCAAAAGTTAAAGTAATTGGAGTCAAGATATCGTTGATCATTCACTTTTTACACTCAACTGGAAAAAGTCAGTGATGAACATGGTGAACATTTTCATCAAGACTTACAGTCGTATGAACAGAGATACCAAGTTTATTGGAATACAAATCAGTATAAAAAAGAGTTATCCTATCATTTTTGATATTTTTATATCAAAATGTCCAAAAATTATGAAAATGGTAATATCATGAAAACTTGACCTCTTTTTTTTTTTAAATTCAACAATCACATGGGTAACCATTGTTGTGAAGTGACGTTATTTTATTTATGCACTAGCGGGCGGTAAAGTCAACTTTATCGCCCAGAAGTGCGGGCGTTAAGTGGAACTTTACCGCCCGCGAGCCCATTATCGCCCACGGGCCATAAAGTGCACTTTACCGCCCGCTGTTCTCAAGTCCCTTATATCCACATATCCATTCGTGGAATACCCATATTTGAACTCTCAGTTGAATCTATCGTTATGATTATGATACATGTTATATTGTTCATCCGATTCCATATCTTCACTATAATTTCCTTCTTTGAAAAGTTGCTTTGTGGCTGTCTGAAGTTTTTAGCCAAAAGATGACAATTTCAGCTTGTTTTTTGGATGTATTGCTAGACAGCAACCATCAGATTGATTGAAAACGTCAAATTTAGGTAGCTATATACTGGGTATACATATTTTTACATCTCAAGGAACGAATCTCTATTAGTGAACGAAGAGTTTTACTCTCACGATAATTGCGATATTTGCACGGTAATATCAATATGTAGATTATACACATAAACATTGCGCTTATCTCGAAAACTGAATTTATGAGTAACATATCAATTGCATGTAGTTTGTTGAAATCTAGTCATTACGTGTGACTCGGGAAATAAACCACTAGTGCATAAAATTTTGTATGTATCACGTGGGTAAAATGCGTTTATAGCCCTCGGCTAACGCCATCGGGCCATTATTCACGCCGCGGGCCATAAACGCCTACATTACACCCTTGATACATAAATGAATATTACAACCGAGGTGTATATTGAATTTTTTTCACCACTATCAATACATTTAAACCATTTTAGTTCTGTGTGAAACTATGAAATATGGAATAATATTCACTATATGAACACTTTTTTTCAATTCTAATTGAAATCTAGTATCCTGACCCTGAAAGTATATGACAAATCGTTATTAATGAATACCTACTTGACTCGAGTGCGATTCCTGCGAATCACACAGAGAACAGTGAATTTAGGTTGATTACAACATGTCTTTATTGATTAGTGGTTCATAAAATTACGAAAACTACCTTGGGAGTAAAAACACACTTAATGCTTCGAAAAGAAGTGAATAATGGTAGGTTTTACAGCTAGTGGTGAAAGAAATATAGTGTGCAAACCTTGGTAGGAAGTTTTATTCCTGTCTCGAGATGATAGCTTACCTCGACGCTTTGCGTCTTATTAGTTAACTAACTTATCTCACGACAGGAATGAATCACTTCCCACCTCGGTGTGTAATATACTATTATGATTCGTAAACTATTATCTAATAATGAGTACCCATCGCCATAGACAGTATGGTGAGAGTAGAGAGCCCAAGAAACAAGCAGTTTTTGATTAGTAAAATTAGCGGGTGAGTGGGTAGGTACTTACTCAGATGGGTTGAACTCAGATTGTGAAATATGATCGGTGTCTTCCAATTTATCTTGAGTGTCATCCTTCTCGAACTTCATTGTTGAGTTTGTTTTTCCACAGTGATTATTTGGAGTATTAATAAATTTGTGAATAACATATTCGATCAAATCAGCCCAGTCCTGAAAAACATCATTGTCAAGAAATACATTTAAAAAACTGGGGATTCGTTCAAAAATGAAATTATATAGAATATTGAGTAGGAATCAATGACCCTTGACCTACTCACATCACATATTTCATAATCAGTTTCCCAAATCTGGGAAAAAGTTTTCAGAATGCTTGGTTGGAAGAGAGTTGACACACTCTGTAGGTCTCCCCCAATGTGGTGCATCATAGTAAATATACAGTTATTAACGTATTCTCCATTTTCTTTGAAACCTTCTAGTAACAGGCCATATTGACGCATCACTTCAACAGAAGCAAACCTGAAAATGAGAAGCATGAATAACCTCGAGTTTGGCATTCGTTGATTTATTATTCATGTTTTCGATATTTTCTTGTCTCATTCATTTATTTGGCAATTCCGTACTTTTCATTCATGAGTTTGATTACAAATTAATTGGCAATTTCCCAGATAACACCCGTCTCCTTGAGAACTGACGGTCGACTATCGAAATTCGAAATGTAGTGCCTTCCCGGCGTCGAGGTGTCCAGGCGGCCGTCAGCCGACCGTAATACACGTAACCGGACTTGGAAGTGCTACAGCGGCAACACATTTCAATGCACCATTGATGGGAGCGCTGTGCCACCAACGTATATGCGCTTGCGAATCCGTATCAAGGAGGATGAGTTTTTCGAGCATTTTCCAAGAGTAGAGTAATCACGAGATTACGAAATCAAAAAGGCTCTATGCTCTTTCTAACTCAAACGGCCATCAAGTTCTTCCATGTGCAGCTGAAGACGTTGCAGACCTTCTGGTAGGTAAACTGAAGAACCCTGACGTCACGCATACCTCGGAATGTTTTTCAGTGTACCTGGTCCTCAGATTTTTGGTAATTTGGGCTGATATTATTTTGAGTTAGAAATCACCCTGTTTACGTTTCCTATGCCATGATCTCATCAGTGTAATGAATTCAATAATAATTTTCTAGGTGTGTTTGTTTATCACGCTCGATCATCGATTAACATAATACCATTGCCACTATGCAGTTCAATAACAAGTGCTCCACACGTATTACGTATGTAATTATTCCAAATCGTGATTTAATGAGGTGAAAGTGTTTGTCTATGATCGCACGTAGTTCATTCTGTTCAGCAAGTTAGTGTTATCAAGTAGTGTTCTGCTAAGTGGTCGTCTGAGGCAACTGGATAAAATGGGATGAGTTCTGAGGTGAAAGTGTTTGTCTATGATCGCACGTAGTTCATTCTGTTCAGCAAGTTAGTGTTATCAAGTAGTGTTCTGCTAAGTGGTCGTCTGAGGCAACTGGATAAAATGGGGTGAGTTCGACTTGTATTTTTGTGATTACTACTTAAAATTGGGTATTGTGAATACCATTTCACCAATGGGGCGTCTGGAAAAATGAAACAAAAAAGGTCGTAAAAGGCTTGCGAGATACAGGGTGGTTGTAAATAATTTTCATTGCTAGATAATTTGTGATATCCTGGTGAGCTGATTGAATTATTATTTAGTGGATCTGACTCTTACCGGGATACGTGATTTTTTCATAAAAAAAAACATGGGTGGTTATGAAACTTTCCGATACAGGGTTAAGAAAAAATATTCGCAACTTTAAGGCAAATCTTTTACGACCTTTGTTCATGGGAACTTTTTTCCTTGAGACATCAAGTGCGTCCCACATATCATGAAACATTCTAGTGTTTATTAACTGTAAAAATTCGAGGAATTATTCCTTGGAATATTTTTGAAAATCCGTTCAGGAGAGAAAGAACATTTTATTACCAAAATTACTAGCTAGGGGTAATAATTATTATAGGTACTTGGTGAACACAGTGTGGTACTTTCATTTAGCAATTTTCAAAATATCAAAAATAGTTTTCTCGATAATGTTGTCCACTCTCGAAACAAAAAGGGTATTTAAAATGAGGTATTAGTCAAAGAAACAACCCTTTTGCCGCATATTTAATCAATAATCTGTATACGTGCTGACCTATATCAGACGATAAAAAACAACCCTCTGAATTTTAGTCGCATGTTTAATCAACACTGTGTATACCGTGGAAGAAATGTGTTTTTGAGGGTGCTAAGGGTCATATAGTAAAGATTATCTCAACTATAGGCTGTAACATATTGAATGGTTGCTTTCAACACCAATGTCCCAAAGGCCATATAGTGAATATTATGCCAACTATAGGTTGTTGTATATCAAATGAAAGGTCTCTGCTTTAATTTTACGAAAATTAATTTTTGATGGGTCCCAAAGGCCATATAGTGAATATTATGCCAACTATAGGTTGTTGTATATCAAATGAAAGGTCTCTGCTTTAATTTTACGAAAATTAATTTTTGATGGGTCCCAAAGGCCAAATAGTGAATATTATGCCAACTATAGGTTGTTACCTATCAAATGAAAGGTCTCTGCTTCAATTTTACGAAAATTAATTTTTGAAGGGTCCCAAAGGCCATATAGTGAATATTATGCCAACTATAGGTTGTTACCTATCAAATGAAAGGTCTCTGCTTCAATTTTACGAAAATTGATTTTTGAAGGGTCCCAAAGGCCATATAGTGAATATTATGCCAACTATAGGTTGTTGTATATCAAATGAAAGGTCTCTGCTTCAATTTTACGAAAATTAATTTTTGAAGGGTCCCAAAGGCCATATAGTGAATATTATGCCAACTATAGGTTGTTGTATATCAAATGAAAGGTCTCTGCTTTAATTTTACGAAAATTAATTTTTGATGGGTCCCAAAGGCCAAATAGTGAATATTATGCCAACTATAGGTTGTTACCTATCAAATGAAAGGTCTCTGCTTCAATTTTACGAAAATTAATTTTTGAAGGGTCCCAAAGGCCATATAGTGAATATTATGCCAACTATAGGTTGTTACCTATCAAATGGAAGGTCTCTGCATGAATTTTACGAAAATTAATTTTTGAAGGGTCCCAAAGGCCATATAGTGAATATTATGCCAACTATAGGTTGTTGTATATCAAATGAAAGGTCTCTGCTTTAATTTTACGAAAATTAATTTTTGATGGGTCCCAAAGGCCATATAGTGAATATTATGCCAACTATAGGTTGTTGTATATCAAATGAAAGGTCTCTGCTTCAATTTTACGAAAATTAATTTTTGAAGGGTCCCAAAGGCCAAATAGTGAATATTATGTCAACTATAGGTTGTTACCTATCAAATGAAAGGTCTCTGCTTTAATTTTACGAAAATTAATTTTTGAAGGGTCCCAAAGGCCATATAGTGAATATTATGCCAACTATAGGTTGTTACCTATCAAATGGAAGGTCTCTGCATGAATTTTACGAAAATTAATTTTTGAAGGGTCCCCAAGGGTCATATAGTAAATATTATGCCAACTATAGGTTGTTGTATATCAAATGAAAGGTCTCTGCTTCAATTTTACGAAAATTAATTTTTGAAGGCTCCCAAAGGCCATATAGTGAATATTATGCCAACTATAGGTTGTTACCTATCAAATGAAAGGTCTCTGCATGAATTTCATGAAAATTAATTTTCGAAGGGTCCCCAAGGGTCATATAGTGAAAATCAACTTTTAAAGGACCAAAAGGGTCAAATAGTGGGGATTTATAGGTATCACATGAAAGGTCTCACAAGTCACAAATTTATTCCAATTCTAATACAGAATGTGTGTGTTTTTTTCCATAATATAAGTAGAGGAAAGTACCTATTATCGCTATTGTGAATAACAGATTCATCAATATAATACTGCTTATTTCAAAGTAGAAATCTGGTGATATAGATTTTTCACAATTATGAAGATTCTGCCACTTTCTTGAGTCTCCCACACTTTGGTCTTGAAAAATAATTCTCAATTTATATACACTTGCATTTTCTGGTACGTCTGCCATCGAAGTGAATAGATGTCCATTGTTCATTATTGTTGGTGACATTTCAGTCCATTCTGAAGGCCAGCTATCATTTTTCACACCATTTTTATCGAAGCAAATAAAAATATTTTTAGCATTATATGGCTGATTTATATACATTATATCATGTATAATGGTAAAGAGAACCAGAAAATTTGAACTCAACACTGCCATTGCTAATGAAGTACTGTGATATTTTCTCGAAGATTATATTGATGTACTCGGTGAATAAAACAACTTATTCATTCAAAAAAAACATTTATTCAAGAATAGTTTATAATTTGAGGTTATTCAGTTGTACTACGATCGCTTCACTGAAGCCTGCCCTTGGATCGGTCCGTTGTGCTGTCGGGATGAGGTGTTTGTCAACATGGAGATTTTTTATTCCTGTTGTACATTCGTAAATGTGGATTTGTTCTTTAAGAATTTTCAATTTCTGAATATATTCGTTGATCAAATTGGCAATCATATTGACTAGCAATATACAAATGAGAATTTTATTGTGGTAGAAGATTATTTATCCAATTGTGCAAGTCTTTACAGTTTCTGAAACTGCACATGTGCGGATCATTGTTCTCGTGATGCATACATAGAGGAATGTCGGCCTTGAAAGTCACTGTGTGCATGAATGTATCAAAATTTTCGATGTTGATAATTTTGGGTCTACTAGTTGGTAAACACAATGAAGTGAGGAATTGAAACTTTTGGTGTCCTCTCACGTATACAAGGTCGACATCTCTGAGATGATCTTGCAATATTTCATTCATTTTCTCGTAATCTATGAACCCTGAGCTGTATTTGAGTCCATGGTGGTTACGTTCCAACCACCTCACTTGTTTCTTATCCGCTTCCTGGAGTGCACCAAAGGGGATAGCTGGTTTGAATAAGTAGTGACTCAATTGAAAGCCATTTGAAATTGATATTTCCTTGGGGTAGAATTCGTTGGATATCTGGTACCCTTGAATATCGATACTCAACAGCTTCATCTTGCAATGTTCAAGTAATAACTGACAATTTAGCAAAGTGGTTCCTCTTAAATAATTATTTTTGTAGTGGGGGTTTTTCACAACTGTTTGACAATTTTGGTGAGAGGACTATAATTGAACAACTTATCATGCAATATGAGACAATATGCTGTTGTATTATCTGGCACTGCTTCAGATGTTTCAAACTCTATTCTCATCACAACAGACCCACTTTGGGTGGACTCTTTTTGATGTGAACAGTCTATGTGTGACATTGGTATGATTTCAGCAAATTCTCTCGGTGAAAATATTGGCTCTTTTCCAGATCCGTAATAAGATGGTCTGAAATTTGTAAACATCGAGTATAGCTGTGAAGTTTTGTTGTCATTGAAACTCAAATATAAGTCATTGTATGGATATCGATCACTGTTCAG